TGTTTTCCAACTCCTTCTAGGAGATCATCCTAAATTCAGGGAGTCTTGATCTGCTTTGAACAAATCCTATCCTATCTCTTATCTAATCCCCAACCTTCTTATCTTTATAGGATTACATTCAAAATTTAGATCTAATAAGACTCTCTCCCTCCTTGGAGGTTACATTCGAAATAGGACTCTAGGCTCTTGAATTCGAGTTGGGCTGCTCTGATAACTTGGGCTGCTTCAAAGTTCTTCTGCGAGTTGGGCCTCAGCTGTGAAATGGGCTTGGCTGCGAATTTGCTCTGACTTCGGGCCCGGTTTCGTACTCGATACGGACCGAATCTATAAAAACCCAAAATATAAAAGTTGTGGGCCTTCCTTTCTTCTTTCTAATGCCTCTTGAATTGTCCAATTCGGAGTCCGGAATTGAGATTTATGCCCAGATTACTGACTGTTGCCGAAATTGTGCAAAATCACCTGATTTGCCCTGTTTTCTTCCAATTGCCTTTTTGCTTGCCCTGAATCGAAATACACGAGTAATGAGTCCAATTAAGTGCTAAAGTGATGTAAGAAGATGAATATTAGGGGACAAAAATAGGGTTCCTTTTAGTCTCATCACTTGGCTCTTACAAATTTAGATCTAAAAATGCATTTTAGATATGAATTTTCAGACTCAACCCAAACATAGGTGGCGTTTGAAAAGCAACATTTTCAGACTTCAAAGGTCTGAAAAGTGTTATAAAACGCCACCTAAGTAGTGATAAAGTGTTGGAATCTAAAAGTTTAAGGTTTATGGGCCACCCACACTATAGCAGGCCATGCTTACCTTGCCTAGAACCCCTCAAAAGGCAAGACCAATATAGCTTATGACATGAGCCTAGGATGACCCATGTTGTGTGATGATGCGCATTTTGGCAGCTCCCCGGCTGGCAAGTGACTCAGATGTCTAGCTAAATAATTCCTACCTGGAATGTGGCTTGGATGCCTATCTGAATGGTTCCTACCTAGAAGGTGGCTCTGACGCCTAACTGAGTGATGACGAGATGGAGAAATGGCTCTATTGCCTATCTGAACGGTGATGAGTTGGAGATGTGGCTTTGATGCAACATGCAAGGACACAGTGTTAGAGTGCCCGGGTTGCTTTACCCGGGGTGGGCACTTCGATGCTTAAGTTAGCGAATCAGAGATTTTAAGATAGCTAAATGTGAGAGATCTAGAGAGTTGCAAGAACTAAATTGTGCATCTCCCCCTAGGGTTGGAGGTAAGGCCTTTATATAGGCATTGTTTAGCATGAGCATCATGCAACATGTCCGGGATCTCTGGGAGGACGTGCCTAACTGCTCCGAAGTCCTCGGAGGTAGTCGTGCATGTAGGCCAATCTTTGCGCCTTACTCGGTTTCTCCCAAAACATTCGGTGTGAGAGCTGACTTTCGAGAGACCCGGGAGTGATGGGATGCATGCAGAAATCGATAGCAAGCACGTCTCATAGGTCGCCAGGTCGGCGCTAGAGGCAAGTCGCCAGGTCAGTGCCAAAGGCAAGTCGGCACTAAAGGCAGGTCGCCAAGTCGGCACCAAAGGCAAGTCACCAGGTTGGTGGGCACCAGAGGCAGGTTGCCAGGTTGGCACTAGAGGCAGGTTGCCAGGTTGGCACTAGAGGCATGTCACCAGGTCAGCACCAAAGGCAGGTCGCTAGGTTGGCGCCAGAGGCAGGTCGCCAGGTCGACGACAATGCCAAGTCGCTAGCTGGGAGTCCATCATTTTGGCTAAGGCAAGTTGTCGCCTAGGTGGTTCTGGGTGTCACCCAGTTGTTACGAGATGCCTTGTGTCATGATGCTAGTGGTGGGCCAAATCTGTCCTCATCACTGTGTATGGCCAAATGTGGCAACACGATTTTTTTTGAAAAATTGAAAAAAATAATAAAGTTAAAATAATCTAACAAGATAGATAAGGAATTAAAAAATCTTAAAATTCTATTCTATATGAATTTTAATTGCATGTATGTGTCAGAATTTGATCAATTTTTTGAAATTGTTTTAATTCTATTATTTTAAAAATCAAACAAATTAAGATAACATTTGAAAAATTCAAATCCAAATCCAATCCAAAATCCCATAAACCTAATTAGATATAGAATGAAATTCATAGCTGGGTTTTTAATAATAAGATGATTTTGATGTGAATGAATGCAGGGGTGGCCATGAGTTAAGCTTTTCATGAGCTATTCAAGATTGGCTCATGAAAATCTCAATTTGGCTCAATTTAAACCGAGCTTCGGGCCGAATTAAGCTCAATTCATGATGCTCGCAATCCTAATCGAGCTTTTACATACATACATATATACATACGTAAACAAAATAATATATATAAATAAAGAATAAAAAATGTTATATATAGTATTTTTTATTTTTTATAAATAATAATAATAACTAGTTTTTATAATTCTTAATTTTTTATGTCAAATAAAAAATAATTTTTTATTTTTATAAAACATCTTAATCAGAATCAAGCTCGAGCGTCATAATTTATTGGTGATCCGAGCTCGAATAATTAGATATTCAGATCGATTCGGCTCAAATCCACCCTAAATGAATGTAGTCCAAATCTAAGTCTGTCATAGCCCTAGGTAACAAGGTGGAAGTGTAGAGAAGTATGTATTAACCTTAGAGATGTGAATCCTGTTTCATTACAATCATCATCTATGACTTATCCCAACTATATGGGGTCAACTACATAATCTTGTTTCACTACTCCACTCTATAATTAAAACCATGTCCACTATTAAATTATTTGTGCTTAAATCATTTCTTACTACATCTACCCATGTCCTTTGTGTTCTACTCCTTGCTCAGTGGATCTTCTAACCCTTCACTTGTAATAAATCATTTTTTTCTAATTAGAGCCATTAGTGCTCTTTCTATGCACGTCACCAAACCATCTTAGCCTATTATTTCTCATTTTATCACTTATTGGAATTATTCCTAGGTTTCTACAGATGACTTCATTCATTATCCTATCTTTCTAGTTTTTCTATTCATCCATCTTAGCATTCTCATTTCTACCATACTTATTTTCTAAACATGTTATTTTTTTATGCCCAAAACTCTATTCCATATAATATAGCTAACCTTACAACTCTTTTATAAAAAAAATCATGATAGTATATAAGAAATTTTTTGTTAAAAACACTTGCTTTATTATTAACATGCATAAATAAATTACTATTTAGTTTCATTTTTATTAAGGTTATATTATAAAAAATGAAGCTTCAAATGGTTAGTGTAACTTAGGCAGATTCGGGTTAGGCTTTTATCAAATTTTGAATCAATTTAGGCCCAGGATCCGAACCTGAAACAGTGTAAAATACTTACTCACATCAACCCGAGTTGCACCCCTAAGTAGTTAGTTAATTATAGATGTCAAGTATAATTGAGTTTAATAATTGATTCCATTCTGAGCATAAAACTAATTAATAATCGGTTCGAGACCGAACCACCTGCTCCGAACCAGACCCTACCCATTGGTAGCTCTCATCTCGTTAACCTCTTCTAATCTGATGATTGTTTAAGCAGAGTCAGCTCTTTAAGGTGTTGTACTGTTGTGCTATGAACCTATGAGGGGTGTTAATGTAATGCAGTATGCAGGTTGGTGGTCTCTGAAAAAGAAAATAAAGAAAAGAAAAAAAAACATTACTATTTAATATAAACAAATCCATCACTACCGTTCGATCTCTCAAAGTCTCAACAAATAATTGTCTTGGTTCCGTTGACGAGTCAACTGGTCGAACCGTGTAAAGATGGCAGGGAGCAGAAAAAGTGTATCAATCGAATCGAACCTAGTATTGTGTGGGACCCCGTTCTGGCAAACGTGGGATAGATGTGCATTGCTGTTGTAGGTCAGTCACACCGGACACAATTCCGCTGTCCTCTTCCGTTTTCCCCCATTCCCACCGGAGAGAGAGAGATATGAAGTACTTCCCACCTTACTCCTCAATTCTAATTATTTTTCTGATTTCTCAAAAAAGTAGATGGTAACACAAAATGTCGAAAGTACCCCTTGTCATTGCTGTTAAGTAATTAATTAATTAATTCCAATTCTTTCTGCAACTCCAGAACTATAACCTGTTTGGCTGTTTCCTGGACAGTGGATTGTATCTTGTATGTTGTATGAATGTACGTATATATGTATGAGTGTGACGACGTTCGGAAGAAACAGGCATTTCGGATGGGTATTTTTAATAGTTAATGAGGGTATTTGGGGAAATGAAAGAATGGAGTCGAAACATATGAAAGAGGCAAAAGCAACAGCAGTTAAGAAACCCTGATTATCGAGTCGCGTGAGATCTGTAACCGAGCGAGCCTTTGAGCTTTGGATCTCTCTTCTCTTTCTTTTTTGTTTTCCTCCCCCTCTCCCCTCGACCCTCGTCCGCTCCCTCTGCGTCTACTTCACCATGAGAATCCGAAAACATGCTAAGATGGATTCTCTGGCCTTCCCGCAAGCTCCACTAGATTCGTGTGCTCGTGCGAGTCTGCAGACACATGTGTGCGAGCTGAACCGGTCGCCTTGGGATGTGATGGCGTTTGCTCCCCAATCCGACCTCTCTTATCCAGACGATTACCAGGTCAGTAGAAATCCTCTCTAGTCTCTTTCGTGTCTGTATCGTTTCAGATCTGCAAGTACCCTCTTCCGAGGTTTTACGAGAGAAGCCAATGATCTCAGTTTTCTTTCTCAGCTTCGTCTGTGTATTTCTTATTTCTCGGTCTAGGGTTTTCGTTTTCCGGCGTGTTGTTTCCTGCTGTTAAGGCCTGCCTAAACCCTAAATCCCGTCGCTGCCGTCATCTCTTCTTACCAGAATAATGGAATAGCTTATTGGTGTCACCTTGTTTTCTTTTTCTATATCGACTTTCTTCTCCTTTCTGGGTGTCTGTTTTGGGTTTGGTTTCAGCTGGGGGTGGTTTTATGCAGGCGGAAGGAGACGATAGCGTAACCGGGAATGGGAGCGGAGGAGAATCCATTGGTGCTGCAGAGAGGTTAGTATAGTTGAGCTTAAAGCGGAGTCTTGTTTGGATGGAGTATTAGGGTTTTTATTACCGTTGCCCACGAAATTATTTCCAAAAACAAACACAAGGAAGGATAGAGCAGTAAAGTAATTATGCAAATTTTCGTCCACACCAGGATTATTATCTTTAAAGCAAGTATAGTTATGTTAGTTAGTTAATTAATAATTGGCTACGAGAAGATGCATTTGTACGTTCATCTGTTTTTCTTTTGTTTAGCAGTCTTGCTTCGTTGAAGGTAAGTTGGGAAGAAGAGGAGGAAGAGGAACCGAAGTTTTCGTCGTCAACGGAGGTGGTGGTGAATGCTGCAGAGAAGCGAGAAAGGAAAATTGGGTTGAAGAAAGGGAGGGAGGGGTTCGTGAGCTGCAATAAGACGGACGGGAAGGGGTGGCAGTGCAGGAGAGAGGCAAAAGAAGGGCACTCGTTGTGCGAGCATCATCTAATGCAACTAAGGTCTTATCACCATAGCTATAGCAACTCTTCCAGTCGGAAATCTGATAAAAGCGGGGCTGCTGGCGGAGTTCGTCGCCGGAATCGAGGGAGAATATCTTCGTCTACGAATCCGTTGGAGTTCTATTACTACTCAGGGTTCGGGCCGTTATGGGGTAAGAGGCGAGGAGGAGGAGGAGGAGGGGATTCGACTAAGAGGAGAAACGCTGAAGCTGGGGCTGCTACGCAAACGACCTCGACCCCACCATCGACATCCGACATTGATCAAAACCGTCCAGTTGCTGCTGCCGTTGATGATGATTATATCATTAATGAAATCGATATAGATATGGTCGACGAGGATGACGACGATGATAACGATGACGGTGTTGGTCACGAAGGTGAGCCCGGAAGAAAGAGGGTTAGGAAGCCTGTGAAAGCTCGATCGCTGAAGTCTCTTCTTTGAAAGAATTGATGGTTTTAAGAGATCTCTCCCTCTATATATCTATCTATCTATATATATTATTATAAGTTTAAACTGTTGTAGTTCGTCTCAATTTGTTCAGCTTATTTCAATGACTCGATATGTTGTCGTTACCACGTGCCCCCATGTTATATATTTAGATGGAAAATTCAAATCTGGCGGAAGCAATTTTGGTCATCAGGTCAAGTTTTTTTTTACTTTTATAAAGAAATTTTTTTTTTATTTTTTTGTCGTTTTAGTCTTAATTTCTTCCTACTAAAATCCCTTCTCTCCAGCAAAAAAAAAAAGAGAGAGAGAAAAAGGGGAAGAAAAGAGCTTCTAATTAAGTAATTATCCAAATCGCAAAGAAAAGCATTTCGGGTTCTTACCCGATCTACGGTGATGGACCACCTAAAGATGATAGTTTGCTGCATACGCTATAGGTTCCACATTGAAGAGAAAGGAAATAAAAATTTTAGAATTTTGATGCGCTGCCGCTGTTCCAAACACTGACAGTCTGACGTTCTCTTCACAAATAGTTTTAAAGACGAAAAGGCCCTTTTCCCACCTCCTCCTCTTTGGGATGGAACGCTGTTGCTTAATGAAAGAGGTTGTAACTTGTAACCTTCTAATGCTTCTAACCCTTATTAATTTCCTTCCTTCATTATCTTATCCGCTGGATGGAGGGATATGAACGATCTTGATTTCGTGGATCTCTTCCTAGTAATTAAATTCATGATCGTCACTGCAGTAACGTTTATATTGCTCCTGTCGGGCGTCGGTTCTCGGTCACAACTCACAACCTCTCTCTCTCTCTCTCTCTCTCTCTCTGTTTCTCCTGCACCATCCTCCTCTTGTTGATTTCCGGTTTCCCCAGCAAGTAAATAAAAGCCCCCCCCAACCCAGAAGCCAGAATGATAGTACTAAGTCCAACTGCAACGAGCTCACCCACGAATAAATCTTTTTTATGCAGTAACAGACTAACAGTAGTGGTTATTAACTCCTGAGCTACATCATCAGACACAGCGAATGCCTTCCTTAGCCTCCATCCCCTCCTCTCCATTTCATTGTAGAGCGCCTGCAATCCCATCTTCGTCTTCTTTTCTTCTTCTTCTTTCTTGTCTCCCGCCCGATAATTTCCTCTCTCCCTCCTAATTTCACCAGGATTCCTTCCTTCAACGAAGACGTGCTTCATATAACAGTAAACACTCACTCTACTTACACCTCTAACGTTTTCTTCTTCATTTATTTGTCTAAAATTACCATAAGTTTGACTCCATCTCATCTAAAAGAAACCCTAACGCCACTGTAATTTCTTTGTTTGGCAATTTACAACCTTCTGCAGAACCAACCAATCCTCCGCTAACCATTTGTTTCTTCGTTTGCGTCCATCTCTGCTTCCACCTGCATATATCATCACCATAGCAGCGTAGCTGAACCACGAAGCCAAGCTCAAATTAATAATAACGGTATATAATACACACAGCAGAATTATTCTCTTAACCTGACAAGAGATATATCACGACTTATCATTGGAATTAGGGTTTTATCACTCAAAACCCAACAGCAACAACAGAAAGACTCCCGAAGGATGCAAATTGGAAATCATACACCAAGAACTGAAAGAAAAAATGCACATAAAACAGGATTTGCTATTGTTTGTTTCGTTGCGGAAGAACTGCTGTGAAGAGGATGAGGCACTAGATCTGAAATAAGAGAAAGGAATTCTTAGCATGTCTGCAAATCTTCGTATTTGGCAGAAAAAATCGTCGAGCAAGCGAACGAGCGGGCGAGAGACAGAGATTCAAAATCCACCTGTGAGCCTGTGACTTCTCCTCCCGTTTCTTCAGTTCTCCTTCTCTCACTCTCCTTTCGCTTCAGTTTACAGATCTCGTAAAACTCGACAAATAGGAAAAAGAAAAAGAAAAGGTTTTTTCTTGTTTTCCCCTTTGGCTTGCATCTTTTGTTGCTAAACACCCATAGTTTTCACTGTATTTTACAATTTTGCCATTTTTCGCAGTTAGCGTTCGGTGCCCAAAGACGTCCAAAGACATTATTCTTGTACAGGTATTTTTTTTTTTATTTATTGGATAAATTGTTAAAACCTAATTGCAATCACCTCCTCTAATATGATTGCAAGTAGATCCCTTTTCTTTGAAACCTCTAAAAGAGGTCATGAAAGAGAGGCATGAAAATGTCTAAAATACCATTAACCAAAATGTTTATTTTCCCAATTTTTTCTAAAATTGATTTGTTTTCTAAATTTGCCTTTCATATTAAACACTGAAAAGGTAAAATTGCAACTTTAGCCCCCCCCCCCATAAACCACATCCTGCCGTGAATTTGGCATCAATCCACGAGTAGGATTCAATCCACCCCTAGGAAATCCTAGCTCTACCTAAGGAGTGGACTGAATCATAAAAACCCTTTTTTTTTTCTACAGAGACCAGCCTTAATAGTAATTGCATGGGTATTTTAGATATTTTTGTGCCTCTGTTAGAATATCATAATAGAGATAGGGATGCAAACGGATCAGGTCAGATTTGAATTAGGGTATATTTGAATCCGATCTAATAGTATAAATAATTGATCCGATTCGATCAAATATTACAAACATCGATTCGAATTTGAATCTATTAATAATATCAGATATCCAATATATTTTTTTTCAAATCGGATAAGGGGTGATTCTAATTCGATTAGATTTTCAATCAGATCCTTTATTGATCTGATCTGATTTAAAAATCCGTCAAAAGTATATCTGAATTCAACAATTGATCTAAAAATCTGTCAAAAGTATATCTGAATCCAATAAAATAGGACCGGATTTCGAATCTATTTGCATCTTTAAATACAGGGGTTTACTTGCAATTAAATACAGGGGTTTATTTGCAATTTTGTGAAAAGCAAGGAAAATAATTACAATTATCAAACTTCAAGAAATATTTAGACAATACTGAAAAACATCAAAGGACGTTTCACCAATTTACCCTTATTTATTATTTATTTTGATGAATTGGTGTAGGAAGGATATTGGATAAGCGGCTTCAAATGGATGGAATTGAATTCTGGAATCTGGATCACGTTGCAAGGCGCATGTCTGATTGCGCCCGACCCATTCGTCAACAGACAACACAACAATCTAAGAAATGCCGATGCTGGCGGGTTTACATGGGCTTGGACTGTCTGAATCCGATCTTTGACTAGATGCCAACACTCATTGTACGTGGCTTTCCTGCATTTATTACCAAAAGCAAACACTGAATTGGGTCGTTGGCTTTCCGAAAAGTTCATTTCGGATTTGAAGGATGGACCATTGGATTTATAAATGGAACGATTACCGGGGCTCCAAGGAACCGAACCAAAACACGGGGGAATTGCAAAGAGAAATTTTACACGTGACGAAGTAGGGAGCAGACACGCAGGAGGTTGAACATGCGTCCAACCACCAACCTGTTGAGTTCCCATAACTTCCCAAACACAAAAAGAGGCTTTGGAAAGGGCCATGGAAACTGGGCTTCTTACTGCAAAGGAATGATAGCATCTTATTAATCCTAAATAATTAATAAACTACACGTTTATATGTGTCCGAGAGAGAGAGAGAGAGAATTGGACGAGTTATTATTTTCGAATGGGGTTCGTCTGACGTGAGGCTAAGGTGGCGTTCGTTTGATGACAGCTTTCAACCGTTTAGCCGTTTACGTCTGAAAATTTTGGTTTTCAGACCCCACCGGCATTTGGGTTTAGGTCTTTAGACCATCTGAAATACAAGTTCAGAGATCTGCTTTCATGTATTACCAAAATCAGATGGATTTCAGACATGATAAAATGAGGTTAATGCACTCATTATTGTCATCTGTTTAATAATAATAATAATAATAATAATAATAATAATAGTTTATTAGTATTATTATTTTATTTAGTAAAAAAATATTTATTTAATAAATACTAAAAATCATTCAAATAATATTATAAATTATTATTTCATAATATTTATTAATAATAAATATTAGTGTGAAATATTTATTATTAATTAACTATTTAATAATATTTTTATTTGAATAAATAATAAAAATTAGCAATAATATTTATTTAATAATAGCATTATTATTAGTATTCAAAAATAATATGTTTGTTAATAATGATAACAATAATAATTTATTTAATATGATTTAATAGTAATAATAAATCAATATTGTTGTAAATATTATTATTTCTTTACTTAAATAAATAATGATATTAGTAATAATATTTATTTAACAATAATAGTAATAATAACATGTTATTATAAAATAATAAATGATCATTTTAATTAAAATAAATAATAATATAAAGTATTAATGTTTATATAGTAATAAGAATATTTAATAATATGTTTATTAATAATAATTAAAAGATTTTTATTTATTATTACTTAATAATAATAAAAAAGTATTATTATTAATTAACTAATAAATAATTATTTGTTTCAACAAATCATAATATTTTTTATTGATACAATACTATGTTTATTTAATATTCTTTTTATTTGTTATAATATTACCCAACCATCTTTCTAAGGGTAAAATAGTAAACTTCATAGTTTTAGATACTTGAGAACTGCACCAACTCAAATGATTTTTTCTTTTTAGAACCTTTAAAAGCAAAAATCATTTTTACTTCTTTTCAGATTTCAGACCCGGTAATAGTTTTTTGACTTCTCAAGCATCAAACTTAAGATTTATCAAACGCCACCTAAGGCAAAATTTTCTATTATTTTTACCATGAAACATTTTTACAAAACCTACCCCATATTATGACACCAATTACACTTTGACTTTTCAAGAATCGAACTCGTTTAGGCCGATTTAGGGGGTGTTTATGAATGTTCCTGTTTTGATTTCATTTGTTTCAAAAATTGTCAAGTCGGCAAAAAAACAAAAAATATCTTTGTAAATTCTGTTTGTGTTTCGAAGGAAAAAAATAAGTTGTTTTGTTTGCAAAGGAATATATATTTTTAAAATCATCAAAATATTGATTTTTTTATAAAAATAAATTTTATAGTATAGTAATTATATGATTTATATAGAACATGATATTAAATAACCGGATGAAAGCATTCCTTTAGACATAAATTCAAGAATACTTTTTTTTCGGTTTTGAAAATGAAGAGACACACATAAAGCCAAGAACATATTTTCTGTGTTTTTTTTTTTTTTTTT